TACTAACACTGCGTTAAAGTAAAATAAAAAATCTAAAATATTAACCTCTTTACTTAAACATTAAACCTCTTTAAAAAAATCTCACAGATGAAACCTCTTTAAAAAAAATCTAACATAAAAAATAATCTAAATAAAAAAATTGAAGATTAAAAAATCTAAAATAAAATCTGAAATAATAAAAAAAATTTGAAATATAAATCTGACAGATTAAACCTCTTTAAATAAAAAAAAAAATCTAAAATATTAAACCTCTTTAAAAAAAAATGAACAATCAAACTGTTGACAGACAAAAGTTTTGAAAACTGTAGTGAAAGTCAGTCAAGAAGATTCGATACATGAGCCTAATTATACACTGCTACCACTTAATTTATTGGTTTTAATAGGTCCATGAAACATGAGTCTAATAAATCAACTAAAAGGAATGAAGAAGTGAAAAAGTATGAAACATACTCTACAAGTACATTGCTAAGAAGGAAAAAAAATAATATTAATATATAAATATTTGAACAATCATAAATATATCTATTAAAATATCTTCCATCCCATACCATAATATAACCACAGAACATGGCTTAAATAAACTAGAAACAGAAAAAAGGAAATATATATATATATATATATATATATGAATATTTGAACAATTATATATATATATTATATAAAATATCTCTCATCCTATACCATAATATAACACAAACACAATAGCTTAAAATCAACTACAAAACAGAAATATATATATATACTCTCATCCTATACCATAATATAACCACACAACAATAGCTTAAATCAACTACAAAACAGAAAATATATATATATATATATATATATTTGAACAATCATAAAATATATATTAAGATATATCCCATTCCCATCCCATACCATAATATAAATAACAAATAATCACAGAACAAATAGAAAAAGAAAAAACAAAAAAAAAAAAACAAAAAAAACAAAAGAACAAAACAAAACTAAATATATAAACCAAACACAAACTTAACAAGCAAATAGTGCATGACTTATTCAGTGAAAAGAAAAACAGAGCATGGCAAATATATAAACAAAGCTTGAGAGAACACACCTTTAACAAAGAAGCTTGAAAGCGGTGATGGGTTTGGGTTCGATTTGATGCTTCTCCCTGCAACACTTTACAAGATCGATGCCCTTGGGAGATGGATTTGGGTTTGATTAAGGATTTGGGTTTGGTCCATGAGGGTTTTTCTTTAGAGTTGTTTACAATTTATGGTGTTCCTGAGTCTTTGTATTCTTAAGAAAGACAAAAAATTGAATTGAAAGTTTGAGTCCGTGAGTCTATTCCCTTATTTTCTGCATTTGCTTTTGTTTTTGCAGTGCTTTGCTCAATTATTTTGCTTTTGCAGAAGGTTCTCTGCTCCATTTTCAGCTGTACCGGCATAGAGTATGTATCGAAACTGTATTGCTCACGTATCGGATTTAGGCTGATACGTATCGGGAATCGGCCGCTACGGATGCGAATTTCATTCTCACCGGTATACCGGCCCATATTCGACTCACATCCAATTTTTCGGTAGCAAACCGGCGGTTACGTACGTAGCGGCCGATAATTAAACCTTGCTTAAAACAAACAAACCTTGTGTGTGTAGGAACATGTACAGAAAAAGTGTTGTCTCTGCGTTGTGCAAAATTGTTTGAAACCAATAAAAAAATGGGGACATTTACTAATCAGTCCTATTAACTAGACTTATTTACCTACAGGTCAAACTGATAAATTTATATTAAAAAAATAAGAGACTGATAATTTATCACTAATAAATTTATTCATAAAATAGAGACTGATATACAATGATAAATTTATCAATAAAACTTATGGGTAATAAATCTCAAAAGTAGGACCTATTGGTAATTTTCCTAAAAAAATTCATCCAATGTGACTGACGCGCTTATGAAATTGCAGTTTACAATAATGGGTATTTTGAAAAAAAAAAAAAAAGAGAAGAAGAAAAGAAGAAGGAGGAGAGTAGTATCTTTGCATATGAAATTTATCTATAGTATATTCATCACTTTTATTTCTTTTTGTCAAGACTCAATGTCCATATATTTACCAATTGATATATTAATGGATGATATAATATAATTTTATTAATTTTGAATATTTATAATTTATATAATAGATGGGATCATAATTTTAAAATTATATTGCTATGACATATATTTATATATTAATTGATATAATAATTAACATCGGTAGTACTATTGAATTGACACAATGCATGGAAATCCGAAGTCTTTGAGCGAGGTGCAGCAGTTAATGCTGCCCTCTTTTGGGAGGTCTTTCCAAGTGTTTTTCGATAATCTGAACCGTTATATGTAAGGTTGTCAAGAATATTATTTCTGTAAAAAAACAAATAATCGATATTCATAACCCTATGATTAGATCCCAATTGTTTTTAAAATTTAATGAAAGTTACGTTAACGTTAATTTTTATAGAAACAAATTGCTTTGGTTGTAAGGTTTCAATATCCAATCAACTTATTTTTTTGTATGAATGATTTACACGACGAACCCTATAATATAAAGATCAAATTTCAAAAAAACTTGAAAAACCTCTCCCAAATGACACAACAGTACTGGGTGCCTTACCCCTCTCCGGAGGGAGACCAAGAAGCTTGGGCGAGTCAAGCACGGGAGAATTTATTATTGACGTTTACAAGTTCTCCTTGGGTCAAGCTGGCGAATGATGCTAAGCCCAAAGAATGGGCTGGTGTTGGACTCTCCCAAATTCACTTTTTTAAGCTAAGGAGCATTGAATAATTTCTCTCTAAAACAGTGATTCACTATGTTATTTTGTTATTATTATTATTGTTTGTTGTTTATTTTTAAATTGTAGGAGATAAGAGACGTGTCAATTTTTAAATGATTGTAACAGTGATCTCAACAAGAACCAAATGATCAAATGCACATTGATTTCAAAAATATGCACTTTGTTGTATTTTGATTATCAAAATATGTCCTTCGTTACATTTTAATCTCTAATCTTTTAAATTTTTTCCATTATTATTTTATTTTTTTGTGAAGTTCTAAAAATACCTCAGCTCCATAATCAATTTAGGGCCCCTTTGACAACTTTATTTTTTCAACTAAAATAGTTTAAAAAGCATAAACAAATAGAAAAGAATAAAAAATAAAAAATTATTAAAAAAAAAGTTAAACATCTTAGTAATTCACAATTTTTTTTATAGAACTAAAAAAGTCAAGCACATTAATTTTTTACCTCATAAAAAAATTAAAAAATTAAAACCTCCGAAAAAGTGAATTCCCAAACACGACCTTAGATGGTACGAGTGTTACTAAAACGCATTTAAATTCATTATTCTGTAATTTGGGAACCATGAATTAACAAAAGAAAAAAAAAAAAAAAAAAAAAGCGTTTGCAACGGAAAACATATAATTTTGGAGGGATTCCTTTACACGTATCAAATTTATTATAAAGAACTCCACCAACTTATTATGTGTTGTACTCCTAATAATATAATATTGTATTAAAAATTAAGTAATCAACACAAGTTTAACCTCGAATTAGCTTGTTCGCCTTTTTGTATACCTATTATCTCCCCTACTAGCAGTAGCAATTTTGTTTCATTCAACCATCCAGAATCGTCCACAAGCCCATGTTTCACCCCAGTGGCCCTCATTGTTTGGTACACTTCTAGCATTGTGGCCTCTGTCTGGCACCGACTGAAGCATTTACACGCAATTAAGAGAACTCAAAGATCTCATCATCAAATCCTAGCCCGATGAGAGCATTCAACTGCATCATGCAAAAAAGATGTACTATCAGATATTTGCAGAAGAGCGATCAAAGTTTCCTCCTGTAACCAGCTCAAGAAGCACAACTCAAGCTAATTACATCCTTCTTTTAAAAACCCAGATCCAAACAATGATCAATCATGAAGAGATCCACCCAGACCAGTATTTTCGGGCTCATGAACTTTGGCCTTCCAAAATTAAGATCTTGGCTCAAAATTTTTATTAGTAGTACACATTTTGAGCTTATGTTCTGGATGGAATACCTGGAGTTTTCTGTTGTAGTGGTAAGCCATGCAACCCTCTTGCTAACCCAACAGCAATTTTAACCTGACAGGCCATTTCATGATCTTGAGCTCGCATGCCGGAGGATGTAGCCAATCATAGAGGTTACCATAGGATATATTTGTAAACAATAGTTTTTCCATTTTTTTCATAACAAAAACCAATTAGAGGTACTAAATTATGTGTCTCAATCGACCTAGAGTCATTACCTCAGACATAAAGAGTCGTTTGGAGCGTTGTGAGTTGAAGAACCGCTTGATGGCAAGGTCGAACCATTTGGGAAAACTGCCTTGTAATATTATCCCTGTCTTTCCCAACCCATGATATTGTCTTCTCTAAAATTGTCAGTGGTATTCACAAGTTCTGTGAAGCTTATTCTAGTAACCAGCTTCTTCTCCAGTTTAGAAATCTGTGAACCAAATTATAGTATCTAACTACAAGGGAAAACAAAAACTAATTGGCTGAATAGTCTGAAAAATGAGTCCAAGAGAAAAACATAGACTCTAATTTGGATATGCAAAACAATAAAAATATATTAATCCAAGTGATAGAAATTGAAGTCTAGAAGAAGATGCTATCACTCTGTTTATAAAACAATATGTTATAGACAAACACTGTTTGTTACCATAATAGGAGGTCATAATATTATCTATTCAAATTATAATTAAGAAAATAAGATATAGCAGCTTTGGTATGTTGTAATTGCATTTTGCTTTTCTTACACCACTTGAAAATTGAGAAATAGCAAAAATTTAATAGGAGAGATGACTGACAAACAAACAAGGACAACTGAACATGGAGGGAGGAAAAGACGCAAAATGTATGAGTAGAGAGAGAGAGAGAGATTGTTCAACCTTGGTATCCTCAACTCTATTCATTGCAGTTGGCGCCATTGTCTTAGTTGAACCACCGGTTGGTTTCTTTTCTTCTTCTTGCTACTCATAATCTTCTTTAATAGTGGATCAATGGGCAAATAAAACAAAGTCAGAGCAAAAACTACAACAGTAGAAACCGAACAACCAACGCGAAGCCATTTAGAAGAAAGCATGATCGTAAGCATCAGGAGCCTTGCAGCGCTTCAAAGGACCCCCACAAAGTCCTTTATTATTTGCATTAACTCTCAGCTGTTGTAACAGAGGTGCTACCAAAAATCTGGCACCGGCCCCGACAAGAGATTGTTAGCAACACTAAAAGAATTATGCGAGGCAGCAAGCCAAGCTCATGTGGGATTTGTCCAGTGAGCCGATTGTCATCAAGTTTTAGGATATTGAGATACCTAAGACTTGCAATATGGGCGGAATTTCACCACTGAAACGTTGGCCGAAAGATCGAGAGAACGACATATGGAGGAACGCCAGATATCATAAGGATTGATTCCGACAAGTTTGTTCCCTGAAAGATCTATAGTTTGTAAAGAGGTGCAGTTTGAGATCCCTCGAGGAAATTGACCCTTGAGTCCCCTGTCTGGGAGTCGGATACCCATCGCCCTGTTCTCGTGATCGTTCTCAACAGTCAATTCCTGTAAAATCACAGATGAAGACTTTACTACTGTTGCCGAAATTCCATGAAGAGCCTAAGTAATCGTAAGGATCTTCCAAGGAATCCTTAATTGATTTCAAGCAATAAATATCACTCTCTTCAGTCTTAATTGCATCGGATAATACTATGACAAAGTTGCTCATTAGTGACAACCAAAACATGGTTTTGAGGACAGTAAGGACCGTTGAATTGAAAGCCATTTGCATGAAAACCGACACACTACTTGTACAGAGAAAGCAATTAATCTCTTGGAAAGTAGAAAGACGAAGAAAGGCAAAAAACAACTCCTGGGTTGGAATTGTGATTAAGTAATGATTTGGGTGGAAAAGAAAAAGTTGGGGTCCTGATTTTTTTTATGAAAATGATCATGAAAAATTTAAAATTATAGATTATCTTGATTAATGTTTGGTATTTTATTTTAAGTGTAATCCAAACAAAGTCAGCAAAATTTTCATATTTTTTCATGAATTTTTTTTATATTTTTGCACAATTTACTTTTCAAAAAAATTATTTTTTTTATATTTTTTTTATTTTTTACTGAAATTTATTTAATATTTAAATAATTTTTAAAAATTTTTAGACATGCTTAATATGAATACACTTTTAAAATATAATATTTGTAATTAAAAAATTTTAAAAAAATTCATACAATAAAAAAAATACGAAATACACTATAATTTTTCATATTTTTATATATTTATTAATTTTTTAATATATATTTAATAAAGGTACATTTAAAAAAAAAACATAAATTATTAAAATTTAAAAATATTCATTTAAAAATAAAAAAGATATGAAAAATAAAAAACCTTGAGACTTCTAAAAATTGAATTCCGAGCCAAAACACATGAAATAATTACAAAAAGTCACACATGTTTTTCATAAGAAAATTATCTGTGTTTGGTATACAACGTTCTAAAATCAGGCGACTCAAACTCATATTCCTTCACATAATCTTTTGATTGTCCTATAGAAAGATCAATTTGATATGCAAAACATTTGCTCCCTTCATGTTTCAGTTAAATTTTGGTGGACAGGACACGATTTATGATTCTCTCACTACCACTAATTACCCAAACACCAAAATCACATTCTTAATCTGTATTTAGATTATATATTTGAGTACAAATTTAAAAAAAAAAAAAAGAAATAAGTTCGAATCAAATATAATTTTTTTTTTTTTTCTAATTTCTCTTTTCATTCCAAATTCTTATTTAAATCCATAATTCAAATATAACATTGGCAATTACTACAAAACCAATTATGTGTGTTCAACAGTTTCATTGAAACCAAAAAAAAAAAGGACTAAATTACAATGGCTTAAATCAAGTACAAAAACAGAAATATATATATATATATATAAATATTTGAACAATCATAAATATATATTAAGATATATCCCATTCCCATCCCATACCATAATATAAATAACAAATAATCACAGAACAAATAGAAAAAAGGAAAAAAACAAAACAAAACAAAAAAAACAAAAGAACAAAACAAAACTAATATATAAACCAAACACAACAACTTAACAAGCAAATAGTGCATGACTTATTCAGTGAAAAGAAAAAACAGAGCATGGCAAATATATAAACAAAGCTTGAGAGAACACACCTTTAACAAAGAAGCTTGAAAGCGGTGATGGGTTTGGGTTCGATTTGATGCTTCTCCCTGCAACACTTTACAAGATCGATGCCCTTGGGAGATGGATTTGGGTTTGATTGAGGATTTGGGTTTGGTCCTATTGAGGGTTTTTCTTTAGAGGTTGTTACAAATTTATGGTGTTCCATGAGTCTTTGTATTGCTTGAAGAAGACAAAAAAATTGAATTGAAATGTTTGAGTCCGTGAGTCTATTCCCTTCATTTTCTGCATTTGCTTTTGTTTTTGCAGGTGCTTTGCTCAATTATTTTTGCTTTTGCAGAAGGTTCTCTGCTCCATTTTCAGCTGTACCGGCGATAGAGTACATGTATCGAAACTGTATTGCTCACGTATCGGATTTAGGCCGATACGTATCGGGAATCGGCCGCTACGGATGCGAATTTCATTCTCACCGGTATACCGGCCCATATCTGACTCAGCACTCCAATTTTTCGGTACAAACCGGCTGGTACGGTACATAGCGGCCAATAATTAGAACCTTGCTTAAAACAACAAACCTTGTGTGTGTAGGATACATGTACAGAAAAAGTGTTGTCTGCTGCGTTGTGCAAAATTGTTTGAAACCAATAAAAAAATGGGGCATTTACTAATCAGTCCTATTAACTAGACTTATTTACCTACAGGTCATAACTGATAAATTTATTATTAAAAAATAAGAGACTGATATATTTATCACTATAAATTTATTCATAAAAATAAGAGACTGATAAATTTATCACTTGATAAATTTATCAATAAAACTTTATGGGTAATAAATCTCAAAAGTAGGACCTATTGGTAATTTCTCCTAAAAAAATTCATCCAATGTGACTGACGCGCTTATGAAATTGCAGTTTACAATAATGGGTATTTTGAAAAAAAAAGAAGAAGAAGAAGAAGAAGAAGAAGAAGAGGAGAGTAGTATCTTTGCATATGAAATTTATCTATAGTATATCATCACTTTTATTTCTTTTTGTCAAGACTCAATGTCCATATATTTACCAATTGATATATTAATGGATGATATGATATAATTTTATTAATTTTGAATATTTATAATTTATATAATAGATGGGATCATAATTTTAAAATTATATTGCTATGACATATATTTATATATTAATTGATATAATAATTAACATCGGTAGTACTATTGAATTGACACAATGCATGGAAATCCGAAGTCTTTGAGCGAGGTGCAGCAGTTAATGCTGCCCTCTTTTGGGAGGTCTTTCCAAGTGTTTTTCGATAATCTGAACCGTTATATTGTAAAGTTTGTCAAGAATATTATTTCTGTAAAAAAATCAAAATAATCGGATATTCATAACCCTATGATTAGATCCCAATTGTTTTTAAAATTTAATGAAAGTTACGTTAACCGTTAATTTTTATAGAAACAAATGTGCTTTGGTTGTAAGGTTTCAATATCCAATCAACTTGATTTTTTGTATGAATGATTTACACGACGAACCCTATAATATAAATGATTCAAATTATCAAAAAAACACTTAAAAAACCTCTCCCAAATGACACAACAGTAACTGCGGTGCCTTACCCCCTCTCCGGAGGGAGACCAAGAAGGCTTGGGCGAGTCAAGCACGGGAGAATTTATTATTGACGTTTACAAGTTCTCCTTGGGTCAAGCTGGCGAATGATGCTAAGCCCAAAGAATGGGCTTGGTGTTGGACTCCCCAAATTCACTTTTTTAAGCTAAGGAGCATTGAATAATTTCTCCTAAAACAGTGATTCACTATGTTGTTGTTGTTATTATTATTATTGTTGTTGTTTATTTTTTAAATTGTAGGAGATAATGAGACGTGTCAATTTTTAAATGATCTGTAACAGTGATCTCAACAAGATCCAAATGATCAAATGCACATTGATTTTCAAAATATGCACTTTGTTGTATTTTGATTATCAAAATATGTCCTTCGTTACATTTTAATCTCTAATCTTTTAAATTTGTTTCATTATTTATTTATTTTTTTGTGAAGTTCTAAAAAATACCTCAGCTCCCATAATCAATTTAGGGCCCATTTGACAACTTTATTTTTTCAACTAAAATAGTTAAAAAGCATAAACAAATAGAAAAGAATCAAAAAATTAAAAAATTATTAAAAAAAAGTTAAACATCTTAGTAATTCACAATTTTTTTTATAGAACTAAAAAAGTCAAGCACATTAATTTTTTACCTCATAAAAAAATTAAAAATTAAAACCCTCGAAAAAGTGAATTCCCAAACACGACCTTAGATGGTACGAGTGTTACTAAAACCATTTAAATTCATATTCTGTAATTTGGGAACCAAATTAACAAAAGAAAAAAAAAAAAAAAAAGGTTCAACAAAAAAAAGGTGCAACAAAACATATATTTTGGAGGATTCCTTTACACGTAATCAAATTTATTATACAGAACTCCACCAACTTATTATGTGTTGTACTCCTAATAATATTAATATTGTATTAAAAATTAAGTACATCAACACAAGGTTTAACCTCGAATTAGGCTTGTTCGCCCTATTTTGTATACCCTATTATCTCCCCTACTAGCAGTAGCAATTTTTGTTTCATTCCACATCACAGAATCGTCCACAAGCCCATGTTTCACCCCAGTGGCCCTCATTGTTTGGTACACTTCTAGCATTGTTGGCCTCTGCTCTGGCACCGACTGAATGCATTTACACGCAATACTAAGGAACTCAAAGATCTCATCATCAAATCCTAGCCCGATTAGAGCATTGTCAACTGCATCATGCAAACAAAAAGATGTACTATCAGAATTTGCAGAAGCGTCAAAGGTTTCCCTCCCTGTAACCAGCTCAAGAAGCACAACTCCAAAGCTATATACATCCTTCTTTTTAAAACCCAGATCCAACAATTGATCAATCATGACAGAGATCCCACCCAGACCAGTATTGTTCGGGCTCATGAACTTTGCCTTCCCAAAATTAGAGATCTTGGGCTCAAAATTTTTATCTAGTAGTACACATTTTGAGCTTATGTTCTGATGGAATACCTGGAGTTTTCTGTTGTAGTGGTGAAGCCATGCCAACCCTCTTGCTAACCCAACAGCAATTTTAACCCTGACAGGCCATTTCATGATCTTGAGCTCGCTTGCCGGAGGATGTAGCCAATCATAGAGGTTACCATTTGGCATATATTTGTAAACCAATAGTTTTTCCATTGTTTCATAACAAAAACCAATTAGAGGTACTAAATTAGTGTGTCTCAATCGACCTAGAGTCATTACCTCAGACATAAAGAGTCGTTTGGAGCGTTGTGAGTTGAAGAACCGCTTGATGGCAAGGATCGAACCATTTGGGAAAACTGCCTTGTATATTATCCCTGTCTTTCCCAACCCGATGATATTGTCTTCTCTAAAATTGTCAGTAGTATTCACAAGTTCTGTGAAGCTTATTCTAGTAACCAGCTTCTCCAGTTTAGAAATCTGTGAACCAAATTATAGTATCAACTACAAGGGAAAACAAAAACTAATTGGCTGAATAGTCTGAAAATGAGTCCAGAGAGAAAAAACATAGACTCTAATTTGGATATGCAAACAATAAAAATATATTAATCCAAGTGATAGAAATTGAGTCTAGAAGAAGATGCTATCACTCTGTTTATAAAACAATATGTTATAGACAAACACTGTTTGTTACCATAATAGGAGGTCATATATTATACCTATTCAAATTATAATTAAGAACATAAGATATAGCAGCTTTGGTATGTTGTAATTGCATTTGCTTTTCTTACACCAGTTGAAAATTGAGAAATAGCAAAAATTCTAATAGGAGAGATGACTGACAACAAACAAGGAACAACTGAACATGGAGGGAGGAAAAGACGCAAAATGTATGAGTAGAGAGAGAGAGAGAGATGTTCAACCTTGGTATCCTCAACTCTATTCATTGCAGTTGGGCGCCATTGTCTTAGTTGAACCACCGGTTGGTTTCTTTTCTTCTTCTTGCTACTCATAATCTTCTTTAATAGTGGATCAATGGGCAAATAAAACAAAGTCAGAGCAAAAACTACAACAGTAGAAACCGAACAACCAACGGCGAAGCCATTTAAGAAGAAAGCATGATCGTAAGCATCAGGAGCCTTGCAGCGCTTCAAAGGACCCCCACAAAGTCCTTTATTATTTGCATAACTCTCAGCTGTTGTAACAGAGGTGCTACCAAAATCCGGCACCGGCCCCGACAAGAGATTGTTAGCAACACTAAAAGAATTTATGCGAGGCAGCAAGCCAAGCTCATGTGGGATTTGTCCAGTGAGCCGATTGTCATCAAGTTTTAGGATATTGAGATACCTAAGACTTGCAATACTGGGCGGAATTTCACCACTGAAACTGTTGGCCGAAAGATCGAGAGAAACGACATATGGGAGGAATCGCCAGATATCATAAGGGATGATTCCGACAAGTTTGTTCCCTGAAAGATCTATAGTTTGTAAAGAGGTGCAGTTTGAGATCCCTCGAGGAAATTGACCCTTGAGTCCCCTGTCTGGGAGTCGGATACCCATCGCCCTGTTCTCGTGATCGTTCCAACAGTCAATTCCTGTAAAATCACAGATGAAGACTTTACTACTGTTGCCGAAATTCCATGAAGAGCCTAAGTAATCGTAAGGATCTTCCAAGGAATCCTTAATTGATTTCAAGCAATAAATATCACTCTCTTCAGTCTTAATTGCATCGGATAATACTATGACAAAGTTGCTCATTAGTGACAACCAAACAATGGTTTTGAGGACAGTAAGGACCGTTGAATTGAAAGCCATTTGCATGAAAACCGACACACTACTTGTACAGAGAAAGCAATTAATCTCTTGGAAAGTAGAAAGACGAAGAAAGGCAAAAAACAACTCTCTGGGTTGGAATTGTGAATTAAGTAATGATTTGGGTGGAAAAAGAAAAAGTTGGGGTCCTGAAATTTTTTTTATGAAAATGATCATGAAAAATTTAAAATTATTAGATTATCTTGATTAATGTTTGGTATTTTATTTTAAGTGTAATCCAAAAGTCACAAAATTTTCATAATTATTTTCATGAATTTTTTTTTATATTTTTGCACAATTTACTTTTATATTTTTTTATTTTTACTGAATTTATTTAATATTTTAAATAATTTTTAAAATTTTTAGACATGCTTAATATGAATACACTTTTAAAATATAATATTTGTAATAAAATTTTTTAAAAAATTCATCAAATACAAAAAAAATGCGAAAATACAATATATTTTTCATATTTTTATATATTTATTAATTTTTTAAATACATATTTAAATAAGGTACATTTAAAAAAAAAACATAAAATTACTTAAAATTTTAAAAATATTCATTAAAAATAAAAAAGATATGAAAAATAAAAAACTTGACTTCTAAAAAATTGAATTCCGAGCCAAACACATTGAATAATTACAAAAGTCACATGTTTTCATAAGAAAATTATCTGTGTTTGGTATAACGTTCTAATCAGGACTCCAAACTCATATTTGAGTGTGGTGTTTGTATACAACTTTCAAAAATTAATTTTACACTCACTTTTGCAAACTCGTTTTAGGCGGGATTTTGAATTTTGAAATTTTGTTTATCCGGTTGTCCTCTCGGACGTCCGGCCAGTCGACTAGAACAGTGTACTTTTTTTTTCTTTTTTTTTTTTGGGGTCAAAATTGGCACCTTTTATTTTTTATATTTAAATAAAAATATTTTTGAGAAATTTTAAAAAAATTTATGAGTTTTCAATAGACTTTTGAATTATGTGTTTGGTTATGAGTTATAAATTTTTTAATTAAATATCATATGTCTCATCAAAAATTTCAAACTAATCAATTTAAAACCTTTTTCAAAACTTATAACTAAACAAATTTTTTACATTTAAATCATAATTCTAAAACTCACAAACAAAAAAAAAAACTCTATTACTAAATTATAATCCTAAAATTCTATCAAACGCTACCCCCATGTTGGTATGTCTTCTCTTTTGTTTATTTTATCAGCAACTATAATTGACTTTAGTCGACCTCTGATCTTACAATGTGTCGAAGGCCTCTTTTCGTATTTGACTTTTACTCAGGTTTGTGCGTTTAGAGCATCTCCAACCCTAAACTTTTTTTTCATCAAATCTGATGAAAAAAAGGATGTTTCCTCAATTTGATATTACTGGCTCTAACGTTTCACTTTTTATCAAATCTGCTCCGGGGATAACTGGTTGGTCGACCGGTAAGAGAAATTTTTTTTTTTTTTTCTGAACTGTTTGAATCAATTTTTTTGAACTGTTTGAACCATTTAGTGGTCGACCGGTTGGTCGACTAGCCGGTTGACCGGTAAGGCGAATTTTTTTTTTTTTTAAACTGTTTGAACCTTTTTTTTGGAACTGTTTGAACCATTTAGTGGTCGACCGGTTGGTCTCCCCAACGGTCATGCACAATGTTTTGGTGAAATGCAGAGCCTGTCCTTATTTTGGTGAAACGTTTGGTAAAATCTCGATTTGATATCAATTTGGTGAAACCGTTGGAACATGAAAAAGTGTTTTTTTCACCAAATTTTAAATTTGATGCCAAGTTTGGTTCAGGGTTGGAGATGGTCTTATAAAAACAGTTAAAAATTGATTTTTTTATTTAAAAATATTTAAAAAATTAGTTTTCAGTCACCGATGAAATTATAATTCTATCATTCATGAGTCAAAATGTGTAATATCAGTGAAATTGTAAATATTTTAAATTAAATGTTGATAATTTAGTCATTTTATTATGATTTGACATCATAAATAAATATTAATAAAAAAAAGCCAAAAATAACTTTTTCCCAACTTTTCAAATTATTTTTCTAAAAAAATAAAAAAACATGACTAAGGGTTGGTTTGGGGTGTACTAAAAAAGTGCACTTTTTGTCTTTTTACGAAAAGATGTGCAGAAAAGTAGAGAGGTGATGTGATGGAAAAAAGATAAAAAGATAAAAAGATAGATTATATAGTAGATGACAAACAAGGCTTAAAACTCAATTATTTAATATTATTATCTTTCTTTATTATTATTTTTTTTTTCGTAAGAATGTTCTGATTAGCACGTGCTATGATGTCATAGAAATGGCGTTAGGATCCTCTGAAGTGTAAATCCTACAATGATCTCCTAAAGTGGTTCATCCAAGGGCTGATATTAAGCCTCACCAAAACGACGTCGTTTTGGTGAGTAAATTGAAAAAAAAAAATTCAAAATTTTTCACATTTCACTCAGTTTCTGAGAAAGAGATAGAGAGAGAGGGAGAGAGAAAAGGGCTGAGAGAGGAGAGAAGAGGAGAAGCCGCCCCCACCCCGCCCTTTCCTACCCCGACGCTCGGTCGCCGTCGCTGCCACCCCATCGCCGACGCCTTCCCTGCCATACTCCAACAGTTTTACTTTTCTTTTCTTTATTTTTTTCTTTGATTTGTGTTTGTGTTCATACATATGTGAATATATATATATATATATATATATCCTATTTAGGAGTTGGGTTTGTGAATATTTCCTTTTATTTTTTTGTATTTATTTTTAATTTCTTTGGATTTTTCGAGCTGGGTTTGTTTGGATTTCTATATATATATATATATATATCCTTTTTTATTCCTTTGTGATTTCTTTGGATTTTTTGTGAATGTATCCTATTTAGAAGATAAACCCATCTCCATGCCTTCTCTCTTCAATTTGATGCCCAAGTTACCAAGAGAGAGAGAGAAGAAGAAAAACTCCTAAAGAAAAGATCGAATTCTTCTACTGCTCAGTGAATGTGAAAAATTTCAGAAAAACGATCTCCATGCCTCTCTCTGTATCTCTTTCCCAGAAACTGAGTGAAATGTGAAAATTTTCGATTTTTTTTTTTTTGAAATTCCTCACCAAAACGACGTCGTTTTGGTGAGGCTTAATATCAACCCTTGGATGAACCACTTTAGGAGATCATTGTAGGATTTACACTCCAGAGGATCCTGACGCCTACAAAACACACGGTTCGAATACTTGAATTGAGTTCCACAAGTCCCTCAAATTCTCTTAAATTCATATTTGAATTTTTTTTTTTAAAAAAAACCTCAACTCATTTGTATTATTTTATTTGTCATTTTGCATGACAAATTTATGTGTATTTAATTAATAAAATTTTAAAAGTTTTTTCCTAACATTTTTAAGTTTAGTTTAATTTTTATTTTTCAAATCCTTCTACTCTAGAAGAATCTAAAAAATAATTTTTTTAATAAAAATATTAATAAATAAACTAAAATACCTTCTTTTTTTTTCCATTTAGTAGATTTTTTTCAAAATTATTTATTTATTTATTTAGGGCCTTCTCGACATAAAAGTAAAAAGTTTTTTTTGATTTTTTTTTTTAAAAAAAAAGAAGAAGAAAAGTTAACCAAAAAAAAAAAAAATCAACAAAATCATTACCAGAAAGGCAATTGCCAAACAAGTCTTAGGTGTGCTATGATCATGTTTGATAACGGAATAAAATGAGGTAGTGAATATTCTCTTTAAATTTTATTTTATTTTTTATACCCATTACATGTATTTATAACCTTTTTTTATTTAAAAAAAATCTTATACATGAAAATACAGAAAAATAATTATGTACTTATTTAAAAGACACATTAGAAGGATGAATTGTTTTAAAAAGATGATTAAAAATTGATTTTTTGACTTTTTTTTATTTTTTAAAAAAATATATATAAAAATTGTGACAGATGATATAATTCAAAACGAGTTAAAAATTGAAAAATGATTTTTAACCACCATCTTAAAATAACTTAGTACACATTTAAAGCACACATTAGAAGGATGAATTATTTTGTCTTTTGAAAATTCTATATTAGTCATGTGCCTGACATATGGCATGTGTTATATGAATACATGGCGTAACAATAAGAAAATAGTGGACAAGTCATAGAATATTATTAGAGGGGCATACAAACATTTCATATTATAGAAATAATTAAGTAAATTATTAATAGATTTTATTGTTGAAACTTTATTACCCCATTAAGGTTTTATTTGGCAACATCACTTTTTAATTTAAAAATTAAAAAGTCACTAAAAAATTAAAAAGTCAACCATCTATACTAAAAAGTCAAAAATTCTATTTTTTTGAATAATACTTGGGACCCCCTTTTGGGGGTCACCCCCTCACCCCCTTTGCCACGTGGCAGGTGGTGATTGGAGGAGCAGGAAAAAAAAGAAAAAGAAAAAGAAAAGGTAACCAATGAGAGAGAGAGGGGGTCAAAGGGGGTGGGGGAAAAGGGGGGATGAATCATTACTCTTTCTTTTTACTTTTTACACATTTTTTCATAAAAAATCAAAAAGTCATCCTAAATATACTAATTTTTTTTTACATCATATTTTAATCAAAAAGTTACTAACAAAGTTTGTTCCCAAACGATGACTAAATCTTAGAGAAACTTACGAGCAGAACTTAATATATAGATTTATTGTCCGATAAGTCTTATAATAATTAATGATATTTTTCAACACACACTATTAAAAAAGTCACTAATTGTTAATTTACAACGACAGTTTAAAAATTGTCACAAAAAAATATCACTAATTATAAATTTTAACAACAATATATAAAAATTATGATTAAAAAAAATTGCTAATTGTTAATTTTAGCAACATGAAAAAAATCGTTACAAAAAAAAAGTTTTAGCGACGATTTTAATAGATTTATTTTCAATAAGACTTGATGAGAATTAAATCTAACTATTAAGACGTATTAGTAGTTTATCCAAAATCTTATTGATAAATTCATCAAGTGATAAAACTATCAATCTTTCTTATTTTTATGAATAAATTTATAGTCACTACTAGAAATATGACTATTTGCGTCTAATTTTTTGCGA